GGTAGGAGATGAAAAGTAAAACTTAGGTGACTCATTTAAGTGTGAAAAAAAAATCATCCCACTTTATATATTTGACATCTCTACTAGATAGGAAACTCTAAAGAGGCTATTTGTTAAATGTCTAGATTATGATCTTTGATTCCAAGAGAATTCAAAAAGTAAGCAACGTATTTATATTCATGCTTCCAGAAATAACTGCTATTTCTTTGATACTGTCCCCACTGAAATGCCCACTACATCTAACTTGATTTTAAATATTCACTTTTTAGCTTAGAACAAAAAGCATTAAGAATAGAAATGTGGACAGAAAATACATTAGTCATTGAGTGGTGTGGGAAGGAGATGGGAATTACCAGTAATGGGCATCAGGATCTTAATGTGGTGATGGATATATTCTAAAACTCATTTATGGTGATACTGCATCACTTGGCAAACTGGTAAATTTACTTAAAATATGATACACTTCAAATGAGTGGATTGTAAGGTATATAAAATGCTTCAATACTGTTATACGCAAAAAAGAATGCAATGAATGAGAGAAGCCAGACACCAAAAAGCTTATGCTATATGAATTCATTTCTTTAAATTATAAGATGGGCAAAACTGATTAAAGGTATTAGAAAACTCAACAGTGGCAAAACTTGGGGCAGAGGGGGTGGACTATGGCTGGTGCAGAGTATAAAGGGGCATATCTGAAGTGCCGTTAACATTGTATGTTTTCATCTGGTTATTAGTTGCATAAGCTTGGTTTGCGAAAATTCATTGAGCTGTACAGATTAATGATATGTGCAATTTTCCATATGTATATTACACCTCAACAAATACCCACTATATACACATACATATATGCCTGTTCACAAATGTTTTTTTTTTCAATTTAAACAATAGAGCCAATTCTACATAACGTAAACTGTCATACCACATATTTAAAATGCATGTCCAAAAAGCTGGCATGAAGAAGTCTTATGATATTCAGATTTCCCACATTTCGATGGAATTTGTGTCTAGCTACTAAAAAGAATTCCCATACGACTTGAATTGACAAGGGGGATAGCATCAAGCTAGTTTCTCATCAAATTATCAAGGTGTCTTAAGAGCAAACGCACTGGATCTATGGGGAAGTTGGTGGGGAGCTGGCCTCGAGGAGTGGTGCATTTCGAGAGGCTTTGGAAGTACTAAGGAGTGCACAGCAGGCACCAAAAAGCTTTTGAAACCATGACAGAATAGGATGGACGAGGGTTTATTGAAGGGAAACAGTCCCCTCATGTTATTTTTGGTGCTCAGCTACTTATATATCTAATACTACTTTGATCTCTTCTGGTTCTACCAATGTTGCCATCCTTCAAGGACCAGCTCAACATTTCCTCTCCTGACCCTCTTTAATATTATTAAAAGCTGAAAGAGCTTTCCTCCTTTTTTTAACTCCTCAAAAAACGTAAATGAGATAAAAATAAAATACTGAGCAAATAATCTAGCTGTTTGTTCTTTATCTGCCAAAAAAAACTATAGGTTTGTGGGCAGAAACCAAGCCTCGCTTATTTATCCACCCAACTCTAGAGTTGTCATGGTGCATCTTGTGGAATCTTAAGTGTTGGTGGAGTTAAAAATGGAAATATTTCCCTTAATAGCTGAAGATAACATGAAACCTCAGCTGAATTCAAAATGTAAAATTTCTGCAGTTATCAGTTGCCAACAGTCATTTTCACATTTAGATCATAAAGCTATATGTACCATTTTTTAAACACTCTGAAGTGTGTAAATATAAAATAAGAAGAAACAAAAATCACTTAGATAATAGAATTAAGAAAGCTTTTAAGTGCCAAAACATAATCGGAGAGCACGTTTATTTATTCACTCATAGATCATTAAACATCAAAAACTAGTTTTAGGTAAAATCAACAGAAAGTCTGTCCTCCAGAAGCCTATTGATTTACTTTAGACAAGGCAAATGTCTAAGGTGCGATAATATGGATTTAATTAATGTTTAGATGCAATAAAGAAGATGTAGATGATAACGAGTGAGTGAGAATAAAAGTTCCAAAACAGATAAAGAAATGTATTCTGATATTTCAGTAAGCCTTCTAGTAAGAAAATGAAAGGAGAGGAAAAGCGTAGAACATTCAGAGATGATGAGGGCAAAATGCCGTAAGAACACAGTTGGACTTGAGAGCACAAGGTATAATCTGAAAGTCACTGAGGAATCTGGCTCCTTAGAGAAGATTTCAGATCGCATAGTTTTACTGGGGAAAAACATGGAAATCGATGTCATATCCTTTTAATCCAAGTTCCCAACTTTTCACATAAAACTAGCATTTTATTATAGTTTTATCTATATATGTGTTCAATGTGTTTTCTAATATCTACCTGAATACTATTTCACATCCATCCTTGCCTGTGACATCTGTCTCATTTATGAGGCTAAAGCAAGTTATGAACTCTTTTTAACAAGGTTATATAAGGATATGCAAAAACATTCTGTATTTTGTAATACTAGACCTCTGATCTACAGACATGCTTAAAAATGCTTAGACACTTACACAATGTCTTTCGAGAAATTTAAATGGAAGAAAACAATAATTAACTAAGTATCTTTTAGAAAAAAAGTTTCTCCAGTATAATTTTCATTCAAATGCATTATTTAAACTGTCCATATCATTATTAATAAGACACGTCCTTATCATAATTAGAAGTTATTAGCATTATTTAACATGCTGTCACTAGCGTGGCAGTGAAAGTTCATTAATTATAAAGCAGCTGAAGCAGGCATGGCCATCTCATCTCCTGGGAACTTACAAGATAGAACCTGATTTCTTCTCTGTAATAGTCAAAAGCATTTATTTTGGACAACTGTAGTACATTTAGTGGTCCAAATGCAACCCAAGAACTTGCCTCCATACAGAATTAACCACAGTTATTTCAGTTGACAATTCTTACTTGAGAAACCACCAGGGGGGACTCCACAAATGATTCACTCAGGGTGCTTAAAGCAATTTTACTCTGCAGATTTGTCACTTTAGAGACACATCCCATATAATTCAACAGCTTGAGAGGATCCATTGTAACTATTTTTTGCAATAATTATAAGATTAAGGGCTTATTTTGGGAGCCATTAATAATATCAATAAAAGGATTAAAACAATTTCAATGAAAATCACAAAGAGATCAAAGAGCTAGTGCAGTTAATGCTTCTGCTACATTTAAAATGAAAAGTTAATCACAGAAAAGCAGAATTTCCTCCTCAACCCACACCTCAAATGGATTCAAAGAATCCATTTTTGTTTGTTGGTCTGATAGAAATAAGTAAAATAAAATAACAATTTAGCTACAGTGCCTTCATACTAATCATGGAAAACAACACAGGACAGACCATTATAACACCTAACACAATAAAGTAATCAGACTTCTTTTAGGCACAACATCAGAGAATTTAACGATGGTTGGAGGCACATCAAATGTATGACAAGAAGAGACAGAAAATGAGAGATAACAATGAAAAGAGACATACGAGAAGAACGAAATGCAACCAAACTTCTATCAAATGGAATCCCTAATTTTGAAATCTTATTTTTCACTAATATTCACCTTAGCATGAATTAGCATTTTAGAAATAAACAAAAGTCCTTAGATTTTCCTTGAGAGGCCATTATCGTTCAAGTATATTTCAGATGTCTTGGTCATCACAAACCTGGCATGCTATAATTTCTATTAATAATTTATAGAAAAGTAATTTATTTAAAAAGATACTATCAATATGTTAATCACACACAAACATACATATTAGAATTTCAACCATCAAGAAGACAAAAGGCTAAAAATAATGCACTTTCTCAAACACAAGAAAGATAATCCTTGAGAACTACCGTTTTTACTTTTATATACTTAAAACTGTAAGTTTATTTTTACATATGCTATGACTTTCCCGTATTTTAAGAACTCCTTAAATAATTGAAGAAATGGCTAAGTAGAAATCCTAATGAAAAAAATAATTCGCTAAATAAGTAATTTACTGATTATTTTAACATTTCTTTGTAAGCATGTAGTCAGAAAGTATGAAGGATTATATTAAGTGAATGACTTCACTAATTTCTGAGAAGTCATACTAATACTGAACAAATATTTAAGAGATATCTGAGGGCAGCCAGGGTGGCTCAGCGCTTTAGCGCCGCCTTCAGCCCAGGGCCTGATCCTGGAGACCAGGGATTGAGTACCACGTCTGGCTTCCTGCGTGAAGCCTGCTTATCCCTCTGCCTGTGTCTCTGCCTCTCTCTGTCTCTCTCTCTCTCTCTCTCTCTCTCTCTCTTATGAATAAATAAATTAAAAAAAGAGATATCTGATATTTAATTTATCAAGGAATTTTAGTATAATTTAAACCTTCTTATGGATTCCCATTGACCAATCTCTATAGAATTGAAGACTGTCTTTTCTTTATCCAATGATATTATATGATACCTTAATTTATATTATTTGAATATGATAATATTTTGAATAGCTTAAAAGAATGACATTACATTCTAGATAACAAAGCAATACTTTCTTGTTTTTCCAAGGCCAAATAATTATTAATCAATAGCCTTTTACTACATTTTGATTGTTATACAGATTGCCTATTAGTTTTTTTATTTTCATACATTGAGAGAAAATATTTATTAGCAGTAAAATAATATTTCTGTAATTTCCGGAGAAAATTAGAAAGGTCTGTTTTTGAAAACTGTGAAATATAAATTTAGTTTCTCATCTATTTAGCCTAGTTCTAGAAAATTCAGGACAGACCATTAAACCTGATAACTAATCTAATAAACTTTAATAATTTCCAAATGCCATTTGTAATCTCTAATACTAGCACTTTAATGATATGGGAAAACAGTGTGATATTGAAAAAGTAATTCATATTATTGTAAAATATACAATGCTATCTGTGTTCTTACCTGTGCTCAATATGTCACACATTTATGAGAGTTTATGTTAAATGCATAAAGAAAAGATTATTAGAAGTAGCATACCTTTGAGACATAATCTTATAGGCATCTGGCAGATAGCATCGTATATTCTCCATCTGAGCAGGGTCAGAGTCACAAATTTTGTCATCAGTCCTCCCATAGTTGGCACTTTCTATCATGATGACATCTGTTCCTGGACAGCGGAGCTCGATGGGGTAGCTCTCACAGGAGAGCTCTCTGCGAACCACAGCCATCGGAATTGGGGCACGGCTGAAAGCTACCGGAAGAAGGAGGAAGAAATATAAGTCATCTTTATTACATACAAAGGAAGAATACATGTGTTTGCTTTTCTAGTGTTTGAGGAAAATACTAACACCAAGTACTAATACCAAAAAATAAACCGGTTGCAATTAACAATTTTAATTAAAATAGAATATTTCTCACTTCAACAACTTTACAGGATTTTTAAAAACCTAAGAATAAAAGCTATTTCATAAAACCCTATCTAATACAGTTTTCTTATAAATGAAAGGGAAAAAAAAAACCTGGATTTTCTAAAACTTTGGCTGGTACGTGAGGTAAAGACCATATAGAACTATTAGCCAGCTTGTAGAGAAAGATTCCTCAGGTAAACCTCAGGGGTATCTGTGTGTGTTTTGCATTGCTTTGTTTTATGTAAACTATTACCAAGAAATTGCATTTTTGTTGAATTTATATAATGTTAAGGATCCCATTTCAATTCTCAATCATGGTTTCATTTTTCAGTAATAACATGATCAGCATCCTTTATAATTTAATTGTACTAAGTGTTCTTTAAGAAAATAGAGCTTTGTTTGGAAAAAACTAAATTTTCTGTTAGCTCCCTCCACACACTTTCCCCCACTGTCAAGAGATAGCCAATTAGCATTGTGGCGACCCTCCTATTACAATTTTCTACAGAAAAACAAATACATTTTATATGTTTCCTCCCACCAGTCTATATATTTTATTCAGGTAGTGTCATACTACACATGTTGTTTGATACCTTGATTTATTTTATTTATTATTTTAATGGGCATCTCTTTTCATTTCTGTATTGTACTCTTCATTTTTAATGGCTGCATTATATATGCCTATAAAGATTATATAATTGATCTTATGTTGATGGGCATTTGGGAATGCCCAAGTGTTTTTGTCATAATATCGTGAAGAAGTATAAATATATTTGTGTATCTTAGTTATAATATTTTAGAAAAGATATAATTATGCAATATACGTTATGGTATAGTCTTATAAATGAAATCAATGGATCAAAGGGGAAATGTATTTCAAATTTGTCAAAAATCAACAACTAGATATCCAAAAGACTTAATAAAGATGTATAGTTCTATCAGCAGCACTTTTCATTTCAAAACAACACATTCCGAATTACTTTAAATTTTACCAATGTAGTAGACAAATAATGATACAATATCCTTTTTACAAATTTTACAATATTCTGTTTACACAGTAGTACACATTTTCACGTTAATCAACCTTTCACATCCCTTTTATTTATGAATTGCATGCTCACATTTATACATGGTTAGCTATTGTAAAATAGCTATTTATATAATGAGAAAAAAATTTAAATTAGTCCTTTATATTTGCAGCAAATATGTTCTTTTAAATCTGTTGTTTGATTTTAGATGTTTGCAGAACATATTTATTTCATTTTTATACAGGGAATCACCATATTTTCATGTGAACTTTAAGTTTCCCACTCGAAGATTGTGAACATAATCAGTACATTATTAAAGCCAAATGTTTGGGCAGCCCTGGTGGCTCAGCAGTTTAGCACTGCCTTTGGCTGGGGGTGTGATCCTGGAGACTTAGGATGGAGTCCCGCGTCAGGCTCCCTGCATGGAGCTTGCTTCTCCCTCTGCCTGTGTCTCTGCCTCTCTCTTTCTCTCTCTCTCCTCTCTCTCTCTCTCTCTCTCTGTGTCATAAATAAATAAATAAATCTTAAAAAAAAAATAAAGCCAAATTTTTAATTGTAAAATCTCAAGTTTTCTTTTAAAAGCATATAATTGAAATTGTAAATTAAGTGTTTACCAATCATCTAATAAGTAGATTTCTAGGCATCTTATTCCTACATAAGAGAATATAGATACATACATGATAGCTATATATATGTATTAATATTTGCTTAATGCCCTAGTGTGTACATATATAAAAATATGCACTTACATAAATATATGCAACTTTTTTTGTGGCTTTTTCAAAAGCATGGAATGTGAAAACAAAAGAAGGGAGTAGAGAAAAAAGGAAGTGAAAATAGAGTGGAGGTAAAGAAAGAGAAGACTGGTTTAGTTTGTGAAACCATAACTACTATTTCAAAATTGAGAATGACATTAGTTTTTACCTTATTTCTGTTCTATATTGTTTCAGAAAAGCTATAACTATACCATACACCACATGCAGAAGATTTGAGCAGGTCCCTCAAAGTTCTCAAGCAGCACATACAGGTAATTCCAGTCTGGCTGTTATTCAACATCTTCTTTGTGCTTGCTCACGCTCTGTCTCCCTCTCTCATTCTCTCTCCCTTTTACTCATGCATACACAAACAGAAGAATCTACCACATCCAAAGCATTCATCAGAGTTAACATAATTAGAGGTTAGTTGTAACATTATTTTCAAGTTTGCTCTTGAGTCAACATTTTGACAGGGTATTCCCACAATAGAGAGACACTGAATTTCTGAGATATGCATGTCTATTGTTCCTAAAATAAAATATCCTTGTTTATCTATCATTCTGAAATTAGATGGTTTTTAAAACAAGATGTCCTTTTTATTTTTTATTTTTTTTAAGATGTCCTTTTTAATAGTGAGATTTCTAAAAAAAAAAAGTGAGATTTGTGTTTTCAAGGATAAAGATATTTTCATTAATGCATTTAGTATTTTAAGTAATGAAATCATTGAATAAAAATATTCCAATTTGGGGATCCAGTTTCATGACTTAGGTCAGTTTAAATGGAACCATAGAGGTTGTTTTTGTCTCTCTGGTTTTTATTTTTGGTTTTAATAAACAGTTTTTGAAATCAGAATTTTCCAGGAAGTGTTTTAGCATTTGCTAAAAGGAAATTTGTTTCTTAACTTTGGTATAACTATTTTTAAAATAACATTGAAACTGCTTCCAAACATTGAATTGATCTGGCTATATTTTAACTTAAACAGTTAAATTAAGTTGAGAAACAAGTTAATTTAATGAGGAAACAAAACAAATAAGCAAATCATACAGTTAAAGCATGTGTCTAAGTGGACAATTTGGTTAATTAAACTCATCAGTCAATTTTTGTCAAAACATGTGTACATAGACCAAGCTTTATTCTGGTTCTCTACTGTCAAAAATATGATTTAGAACCAGACACTAGACAGTTGTAAAGTCAACTAAAATATGGAGGCCAAAATTTTCCACGTATCTCTTTTGACCTTGTAAGAGTTTCACAAAAGTTATGCATATGGCAATTTTTACAGAGAACCAGAGTTGATTTTGTGGATTCTTTCTTCCATTTAACACATAATTGCATTTGTATCAGTAACCTGGTGATAAATTGCACTCCTAAATGATGGATGCTTTGTTTAAAGGAATGTATTACTGGAAACTATAACATTATCTAATTAGCTATTTAAATTACTTTTAATTATATTGCAAAATGCTTTAATCAGCAACCAAATTCCAATGGAAAAAATGTTTAAGTTAAAAGTTTGTTTGTTGTTGTTGTTGTTTTTAACCATTCATTTATTATGCTAAGAATCAAGATTATTTTGCTTAGCAGAGAAAAGAAGTAAGACATGGGAAATGTCAATTCAAATGCAGAATAGTCTGTGAAACTGGCTATTACATGTTTTACTAGGGTAACACTGCATTGGGCATTGTGAAGTAGCTGTAGGAAAAAAATTGGGGGCAAAGAAGGCATACTCTTGAACTCCTTCTCACTTTTAGTCTATGAGTTAATCTGTTATAACAAGGAACAGAGCATCATCGTTAGATGTGTAATGGGTATTCGCTAAATTCGCTAAATAAATTGGGGAAACTTCCGATGTAAAATCTGGTAACCGGGCAGGATGTCGTACTATGGAACTAGCCACTGATCATGAAACCAAGGAAATACGGATGAAATGAAGCTTCTCTACTAAAGATGGCGAGAGCCTCAGCAAATACCAGGTTCCATGGCAAACACACATCTAACAAAAAGTGCTCCTGGCAATGGATTAAATAACAAGAGAAAAAGCTCCCTGTTCTTGCTCACTTGTTTCAGCACAAGTCACGTTCATGTTTTCTTTTCTGAGGCCTCAGCCACTCTGTGGTTGAAACCTCTTCTTTGGGTGCTCCTACTGTTAAGCCTGCTTGGTGATATTTGACTCAAAATGCCTGAAGTCCTTGGTGAACTGTGGATGATAATAACAAAGAAACCAGTCTAGGGATGGGGGGTGAGGGTGGTGCCAGAGGCCAAAAGCTGGTGACCAAACACAAGTCAAAGGATTCTTTGTGTACCTCAAGAACAGGGCTCAGAGACTAGCTAGGACAAAGCTATCAAAGAAGGGAGGGGTAACTGAGACAAAGGATTTTAAGAGAAAGGGTATCAATTGATAAGAATAACACTAAACACAGACATAAAGGCAAACAGTCAGTTAGTGGGTTGAGAGCATAACACAGTATAATTTATTACATTTTAAACATGTTGACTGTAAGGAGTCAGGGTAACATTGAAAAAAGTTCAATTAAAAAAAATTAAAAAGTTAAAAAAATAAAAAATAAAATAAAAATAAATAAAAATAAATTTAAAAAGTTCAATTGTCAGGGCACCGGTGGCCCAGCTGGTTAAGTGTGGGACTCTTGGTTTGGGCTCAGGTTGTGACCTCAGGGTCGTGAGATGGAACCCCAAGTGCAACTCCACATTGGGCCTAGAGTTGGCTTGAGATTCTCTCCCTCTTCCTCTGCCCCTCCCACTTCTGTCCTTTCTCTCATTCTCACCCTCTCTCATATAAATAAATGAATCTTTTAAAAAATCGACTCTCAGTTGGATTCAGGAGTAGAATATAGGTTAAAACCACAGTAAGGACATAAAATAGTGCAGGGAGTACCTACAGAGAAGTGAATGGATGCAGAAATTGGGATTATCAGTGGCCACTTAAGAAATGTTGGAGGAACATACTACTGAGTCACATAGAGAAGGGCTGTTATCTATTCAAGGAAGAATCTGATTGAACAGACTAGCCTGCTTACCACTTACCACTGCTTCGAGGTAAGGAAA